CCCTCTTGAACCTCCCTCCCACCCTTCTAGATTGTCACAGAGCATGATTTGAGCTCCACCATCAAAGCGGGAGAAAATATTTGCAAATGAAACAATTGACAGAGGATTAATCTCTGGAATATATAAGCAGCTCAACAGCAGAAAAACTTAATAGCCCAGTCAAAAAATGGGCAGAAAACCTAAACAGACATTTCTCCAAAGAAGACATATAGATGGCCAATAATACTTGAAAAGATCTCAAGGTTGCTAGTTATTCAGTTCAGTCGCTCACTCTTGTCCGACTGTTTGCAATCCCATGAACTGCAGCACACCTGGCCTCCGTGTCCATCACCAACTCCTGGAGTTTACCCAAACTCATGTCCATCGTGTCAGTGATGCCATCCAACCATCTCATCCTCTGTCATCCCCTGCTCCTCCCAACTTCAGTCTTTCCCAGCATCAGGGTCTTTTCCAATGAGTCAACCCTTCGCATGAGGTGGCCAAAGTATTGGAGTTTCAGCTTCAGCATCAGTCCTTCCAATGAATGTTCAGGACTGATTTCCTTTAGGATTGACTGGATGGATCTCCTTGCAGTTCAAGGCAGCTCATTATTAGAGAAATGCAAATTGAAATTACAATGAGGTATCACCTCACACCAGTCAGAAAGCCCTTCACCAAAAAATCTACAAATAATAAATGCTGGAGAGGGTTTGGAGAAAAGGGAACCCTTTTGTGCTGTTGGTGGGAATGTCAGTTGATTACAGCCATTATGGAGAACAGTGTGGAGATTCCTTAAGAAACTAGGAATAAAACTACCTGCCTGCAATGTGGGCAGTGCGGGAGACCTGGGTTCGATGCCTGGGTTGGGAAGATCCCCTGGAGGAGGGCATAGCAGCCCCACTCCTGTATTCTTGCCTGGAAAATCCCATGGACAGAGGAGCCTGGCAGGCTGCAGCCCATAGAGTTGCCAAGAGTTGGACACGACTGAGCACGCACACAGTGACAGGACATGGAAGCAGCCTAGATGTCCATCCTGAGACTTCGTGCATGTGGGTGTTGTGGCGGGGTGTGCAGGTTTATGTAATTGACACAGTTGCATTAAAATTGGGTAAGCCTGTTTTGACATAAAGTGAACTTGTTCCATTTATACAACAGCAAACTGTTTGGTTTTTCTTGGAGCGTTTTGAAATAAAACTCAAAATGTGGGAAGAATAAATATACTTACTCCACTTGTTATTACTAATATTTCACACACACCCAAGTTTATGACTTTCCCAGAACTGTAACAGGTTACTATGGAGTGGCAGAGTTGGTAGACATACCTAACATCATACCATGTAAATCTTTGCATTTTGATAGTTCTTTTTCTTCATGGTCTCTTTCAAATGGCGTGCCGCCTTTACTGGCCCCACAGTGTCAGGTGCATGTTGTGCTTGTGAAGTCACTCACTAGTTTGTTATTGGAGACAGAAGGATTTTCTCTTAAAATTCCTTGATGAAATAATTGGGTAGACATGGTGCTTTTGTTTAATTTTCCTCTTGATACGAAGTCTGTTGACAAAGCAAAGACTCCAGTGGTCTCCAGATTGGTCTTGGGGGATAGGTTGGTTTTCAAGTGCATTTGCTCTGACTGAGACGGTCACCTTCCTGTAATACGTAGGCTCCTTTTTTTAGAACACAGTTCTCAAGTAAATTAAGTCTGTTTAAATGTGTGAAATAAGTTGATGCACTGTACATAGCAAGTGTTTGATGGTTTAGCATCAGGACTCTTGAATTCTCAATTTTAGGACCAGTTTGAGGGTCTTTCATCTACTGTGTTACTTGCTTTCTTAACTCTCTTTCCCTTTGGGGGTAAAAGCCACCTCAGGAGGCCTTCCCTCAGCCCCGTGTTAAAACTGTATCCTCCTCGTTACCTGTTCCCTCTTCTTTGCTGCTTTCCTGTAGTACTCAATACTGCTCTATCCCTGTTAATCCTCAGATAAGCTCTGTCTGTACTCTCAATGCCTGGGTGCCCAGCACACTGTGGATGCCCGGTGATGGTTGAATTAATGAAATCGAGGAGAGTCTGTACTGTTTGTAGAATGAGGGCTAGAGGCAGGCAGGGCAGGTCGGTTGGTGACGTCAGACGGGGCTTGAATTCTAGGTTCATCCACCTCTTACGTTGATATTAAATAATCATTGAAAGGAAACACCCCCCCCCCCAACCAGTGAGATGGGGGAAAATAGTGTTTTTTAAAAGGGGATGAAAAATGATATTGGAGGGACTTCCCTGGTGGTCCAGTGGTTAAGACTTTGCCTTCCATCGCAGGGGTGTTGTGGGTTCAATCCTTGGTCGGGGAGCTTGAATCCCACATGCTCGTGACCCAAAAACCAAAACATGAAACAGAAGAAAAATTATAACAATTTCAATAAAAACTTTAAAAGTGGCCCGTGTTAAAAAAAAAAATGATATTGGCTATAAAGCTCTGTAAATGTTAGTCCTTGCTTTCCCCTGGTTTGTCAGCATTGAAGCCTAAAGGCAGTCTGAATTTAGCAATCCGATGCTTCTAGGGTCATTACCTTGATGACTTCTGACAGATTTATTCTTCCAGCAGCCTGTGTTGCCAGCACAACAATGAACTGTCCCTTTGACCAGTGTGGGTGGACAGACAGTTTGTCAGCCCTCTTTAATCCTCATATCAGAATAACTTGTATGGGTTCTGGCTTTGAAATAAGTTTAGGCGAGTCCACGATTCCAGACAGTTCAGAGGGCATCACCAGACCTTTCACCCAAATGCAGCGGGCGCATCAGAGAAATTTATTTGTGTTCCTTGTACACACAGTCATTCTAGGTCTTCTGGCAAATCAAGAAACATCAGAAGGCTGGTAGGTCACTAGTTGGTCTCCATAGATTTCTTCAAACCTTGCAGGTCTGGTCACAAGGTGTTAATTCTTGTTTTGGTTTCCACTGATATTTCTTCTGTTGGGATGGTCAGAAATACTTCATAAGTCAGTTAAAGCAAATGGGTTTGGTTTGTGCATTTATAGATTGTTTCAGTCTTTTGTCCCAGGCAAGTCTGAACAGGACCTAGAAAGCTGATTAAAAGACTAGTGAGCACAGTGCTTAATTTTAAGTTAAATGGATATTTAATGCATTGAGAAAGTACTCTGCCTTCAATCTTTCTTTTCTCTCTCTCTCTCTTTTTTTAAATCATCCATGCTTGCTTTTTGAATCTGTTGGTTAGAAAAACAAAGGTTTTCTGAAAGAGTTGACTATTGCTCCATTTCTCAAGTTTGGTTTTCAGTGTGGATTTTTGTAGGTAATTTTTGCACCTTAAGGGTACAGAATCATTAAATGAAGGCTGGTAGGAAGGAAAGAGTGCCCTAAGCCGAGTGTGTGTGTGTGTGTGTGTGTGTGTGTCTGTTGGGCGGGTCTGTTAATGTGTGTGTGTGTGTATTGGGCGGGTGGGGGTGTGGACTACAGGACAGACAAGCCTCATGTGTGTGTGTGTGTGTGTGCGTGTGCGTGCGTGGTGGGGGTGTGGACTAGAGGGCGATCGGGGCAGGCAGGGGAGGTGGTCAGACCCTGTGGGGCCACCTGGCTGTGGGCACGTCTTGCAGCAGAGTGAGCGAAACCCATGGCCCGCTGCTGGTTGCAGATGATCGTGTGTGGGTCCAGTTATAGATTTATCTATTTCCCTAGAGGTGTGTGTTAACTGTTTTTGGGGTGAGCCTTTGACTTCCCTGGTGGCTCAGGCGGTAAAGCGTCTGTCTACAGTGCGGAAGACCTGGGTTCGATCCCTGGGTTGGGAAGATTCCCTGGAGGAGGAAATGGCAATCCACTCCATTACTCTTGCCCAGAAAATCCCGTGGACGGAGGAGCTTGGCGCAGGCTACTGTCCATGGGGTTGCAGAGTTGGGCACGACTGAGCGACTTCACTTTCACTTTGATCCTCAGACACACAACCTGACTAAACTGGCTGATTTGTAAAGAAGTTTTAATACTGAGAGGATTCTGTTAATTTGAGCTGTGTGTGGTTGCTCAGGCATTGCTTTTTATTCTAAAATTTGGATTTCTAGTTTATGCTGTTGGCATTTCAGTTGTTAGGTTTTTATGATCTGGTGTGGCATCTTGCCAAGTATGGGATTTTATCTTTTTCTTTTTGCGTCTTGAATGCTGTTCCTGTAGGTTTTTTTTTTTTTTAAATACTGCTAGATCATAATTGATCAGGTTCCCTATTATGAGCAAGACACTCAAATTCTGTTAGAATGAAATTACTTGGGTCTTCTCTGATTCTTATGAAGATGGGATTAGCTTATTCTGAGATTTGTTTATTTAACAAAAGATTTGCCTATCTCAAGTAATTCTGGACTACGATCATTTTAGCTTAGATGAAATCCTGGTCAAATCACCAAGGTGAGCTTTTAAGAACATGCTGTTCTTAATATTCACAAATGTATTATATAATGTTGTAAGTCTTCTCTAAAGTTCTTCCTAAGATTTTTGTGAGAATTCATTTAGATAGGTAATGACAGGGAATCCAGCCATTGATTTGCAGGAGACCAACAGCTTCTAGTTGATGGAGGCCACCTGTGGCCCCCCTCCTCTGAGAGGAAGAGCTGTCTCCTGGTCTCCCCTCCGCCCTGAGTGCCCTAGTGATAACCGGGGGAAGCATCTTATGAGTTTGGGGGATTATATAGAAGTGTAACTTGGGCACGCACTGTTCTTTTTTTGGTTTGCGTTTAACATCCTGTTGGTTGATTGTTGAAACATCTTCTGTGACTGCAAAGACTTTTGTCTTTGTTTTTCAATCAGAACATCTTTCTCCCCACTTGTAAAGATTGAATCTGGGCCACATGGCATGTTACAGTCCTTGAACTTCTGTTTCCAAACCTCTGAGGGAAGCTGGGTATCTGTAACCCCAGACTGCTGATTTTGCTCATGTAATCTTGCTTGACATCTAGGCCTTTTCCAGTGGGTTTTAAATTTTTGATGATAACTTTTAATTTTATTCTCATTTGTTTCTCTCTCTTCTGTTCCAGTGTCCTGGGTCATGAAACTTAATCCACAGCAAGCTCCATTATATGTGAGTAAATCACCAGATTTCATTTTATCCTTATTTTTTGCTGTTTAATTCTTATAATAAACTCAAAAGTGTTCTCCTGTGATTATCAAAGGAATGTTGAACCATCTCTACATAGGAATATATTGACATGATGCTCTTCAGAAATTGAATTTGATTTAGTGACTGTTAAATGATGAATAATGCATGATACTGAGCGGAGAACAAATGACACCTGTAAGCCTTGTGTGGTAGTCTGATCGGGTAGAGAAGACGCATGTATAAGGCAGTCTCATTGCCCTGCAAAGTGATTCTGCAACTTCTCATTTGGATACACAGTTCACTTCTGCGGAAGCAGGGTGTCGCGCTTCCTGCTGCCGTTGTGAGTTACCCTGTGCCACGACTAGGTGGCGCTCTGTCATTGGCCAAAGTGCCGTTTACTTTTAAGAACCTGGGTAAAAGCCATCCCCTCCTTAGAAAGTGGGGAAATTAGAAGATGACATGGATAAATGAATGAATGGAGCCTGGAAAAAGGAAGTCCTAGGTGTTTCTGTTTGTTTAAACAAAGAACAAAGTGTTGTGAGCTAGCCGAATGGAGGTGGTGAAAAGCGCCTGGTCGGTGAGCAGCCGTCGGAGAGCTGTAGCTCGGCCTTGTGAGGGGCCGGGGGCTGTGCCGTTCGTGCGGTCTGGAGAGGCGCACAGAGCCTTTCGATGGCACAGGGCGTCAGTCAGGTCCGTAATCCTGAAGATGAAGGGCCGTTTCACCGGCGGAAGAGTGCGCGCAGAGTCTGTGGAGGACGCAGACCAGCAGGCGGAGGGCTGGGTGGCAGTGAGCGTGGTGTCGCCGAGCGGCCTTCGTGGTGATGCGCGTCGCATCCTCAGAGGTGGGTGACGCTCAGACGCGACAGCTCACGAAAGTGTGTGGAGTTTATCTCGTGACCACTGAGGAGCTTTTAATGGTGTTCAAACCAGCTGCTCGTTTTATGTGTTTATTTTTTTACCTGTGCTGTGTTAGTAAAAGTCATATATACTTTCCTAACATGGAGCAGTCATATGATTGCTCTTCATACAAAGCAAAACACATGTTCTTAGGCGATATCTTGTGTTCTTAAATTCCTTCCAGACCACTTGGAGACCATTTATTATGTTCACCAGTGGGTTTGCACGTGAATTGAATACCTTGGACTTAAGAAAACAATTGAGATAAAAGTCACACACCATAAAGTCCACCCATTTAAAGTGTACAGTTCACGGTTTTTAGTATGTTCATAGTTGTGTCATCTTAACTTCAGGGCATTTTTTAGCACCCTCAACAGAAACCCCACCCCCCTTGGCAGCCACTCCCCAATTCTCCCTCCTCTAGCGCTTGGCATCTGCTCTCTACTTTCTGTCTTTATGGTTTTACCTGTTCTGGAAATTTCATATAAATAGAATCATGCAGTATCTGGCCTTTTGTGACTGGTCTCTTTCACCTAACATCTTATATATAAGGTGTATATTAGAGTGAGTATAAGTACTTTGTTCCTTTTTATTGACAGATAATAATCCATCATATGGACAAATTACATGTTATTTATCCAGTCCTCAATTGATGGGCATTTAGGCTGTTTCTACTTTTTGGCTATTAAGGTTAATGCTGCTGTGAACAGCAGATTTTTGTGTAGGCGCCCAACTCTATTCTTTCCCCATTGATTTTTCTTGGGCACTTTTGTTGAGAATCAGTTGGTTATTAAATGTAGGGAATTATTTCTAGACACTCAATTCTGTTCCTTTCATTTATGTCATTCTTCGTTGGTTAAGTTTCTTTCAACAGTGATTGATAGTTTCCAGTGTACATGTCTTTAATTTTTGTAGAATTTATTCCTATTATATTCTTTTTGATGCTATTGTAAATGATACTGTTTTCTTAAATTCATTTTTAGATTGCTCATTGCTGGTGTAGAAATACAGTTTAGTTTTCTGCATTGATTTTTTAATCTACAACCTTGCTGAACTTGTTTATTAGCTAGTACTTTTTTTAGTGGATTCTTTAGGATTTTCTATATCCAAGATCATGTCAGCTGGAAATGTGCTATGTGTGCTGTCGCTTCAGTTGTGTCCGACTGACCCTGTGGAGTGTAGCCTGCCAGGCTGCTCTGTCTGCGGCATTCTCCAGGCAGGAATACTGGAGTGGGTTGCCATACGCTCCTCCAGGGGATCTTCCCAACCCAGGGATCGAACCTGCGTCTCTTACGTCTCCTGCATTGGCAGGAGGGTTTTTACTACTAGCTCTACCTGGGAAGCCCTGTTGAAAATAGACATAGTTTTCTTCTTTCCAATCTTTTTATTTTATTTCTTTTTCTTGCCTAATTGCCCTGAGGAGAACCTTCAGTTCAATGCAGAGTTGAATAAAATAGTGAGAGGAGACATTCCTGTCTTGTTTCTAATCTTAAAGTGAAGGCCTCCGTTCTTTCACTGGAAACATTAGTACGACGGTAGCTGTGGGTTTCCGTAGGAGGTTCTGGAGGTTCTCTTCTATTCCTAATTTGAGTATTTTTATCGTGAAGACTACTGAATTTTGTTGTTGAATGTTTTCTTCTGTCTGTCGAGATGTACTGTGTGGGTTTTTATTTCATTCCATTATTGCATTATGTCGATTGATTTTTAAATGTTAACCAGCCTTCCTTTCCTGGGGTTAGTCTCATTTGGTCGTGGTGTGTAATCCTCTTTGTGTGTTGCTAGATCTGGTTTGCTAGTATTTTTGTGTCTGTGCATAGTTTTCTCCTGACGTTTTTGTCTGCTTTTGGCCATGAATGAGTTTTAATTATGGGCTGACATGACTGCATAGTTGTGGTAGGCAGAAAAATGGTTCAAGTGTGTCCATGTCTTAATTCCCAGAACCTGCAAATGTTTATCTCACATGTCAAAGGGGCTTCACAGATTTCAGTAAGTTAAAGATCTTGAAACCAGAGTTTATCCTTTAATTATCTGGATAACCCAGTGCAATCACAAAGATTCCTGTAAGTGAGAGAGGGAGGCAGAGATGTGTAGATGCCACGCTGCTGACTTTGAATGAGGAAGGGTCCATGAGCCAAGGACTGCAGTCTCTTGAAGCTGGGGAAAGCAGGGGAACAGCCTTTCCTTAACGACCTTCAGAAGGAACACAGACATCTTTATTTTAGCCCAGTGAACATCTTTCAGGCCTCTGACCTTCAGAACTGTAAGGTGATAAAACCTGTGCTGTTTTAAGCCTCCGAGTTTGTGGTGGTTTGTTGTAACAGCAGTAGAAAGCTAACACAGTGGTAGTTCGGAAAAACTCAGTTAGTAGTGTGCAGGATAATTTAGAAGGAGTGAGAAGAGGCTGAGAGGTGAGTCAGAAATTTTCTTGTCTTGCCATCATTGAATCTGAGAAGTTGAGAGCGTGATCTAGCATCACAGTTTCACTTTCTGTGGTTTCAGTTATCTTCAGTCACCATGGTGATAATATTATATGGAAAATTACAGAAATAAACAATGCATGTATTTTATCTATTTATTTATGACTGAACTAGGAGGCATGCAGGATCTTAGTTTCCTGACCAGGGATCGAACCCACCCCCTGCGTGGAAGCCCCATGATTCATAAATTTTAAGTTTCCCACTGTTGGGAGTGGTGTGGTGGGATCTTGCCCCGTCCCGCTTTATCCTGTAGGGGATATGAATCATCCCCTTTTCCAATGTGCCTGCCCACTGGTCACTTAGCATCTGCCTGGGTTATCAGATTGCCTGTAGTATCTCGCTGCTGTGTTCAGGTGACCCTTATTGTACTTAACAGTGGCCCCAGAGTGCAAGAGCAGTGAGGCTGGCAATTCAGATACACTGAAGTGAAAAGTGAAGTGTGAAAAGTGAAAAGCCTTGAAGTGAAAAGGTGAAAGTTCTTGACTTAATAAGGAAAAAAAAAATTCATATGCTAAGGTTGCTAAGATCTATGATAAGAGTGAATCTTCTATCCGTGAAATTGTGAGGAAGGAAAACTAAATTCATGCTATTTTTGCTTTCACACCTCAAACTGCAAAAGCTACAGGCACAAAATGTGATAAGTACTTTAGTTAAGATGGAAAAGGCATTAAATTTGTACAGTAGGATATTCTGAGAGAAGGAGGCAGACACCACATTTACCTCACTTTTATTTCAGTATAGAACTGTTATCTTGTTCTATTTTGTTATTATTGTTAATCTCTTTACTATGCCTAATTTGTAAACTTTATCACCAGTGTGTGTGTGTGTGTGTGTGTGTGTGGGAAAAAACATGTTAATTATATACAGAATCAGGACTGTCCATGGTTTGAAGCATCTGCTGAGGGGTGGTGAATGTGACCCCCTGGATGGGAGAGCTGCTCTGTTTCAGGGCAGTCCATTGGTGAGAGGGTAAGTTCTCTGCACCTCGACAAGTACTAAGCAAAATAATAGAGTGTGTTGAAATTCTTCTTGATGATTTGAGATATGCTAGGGTGTATGTCACCAACAGAAGAGAGAAAACTCCTAGTTAATGAGGAAAAACGCTGACCACGGAGAATAACTTTCACCTGAAAGTTAAGAAAAATAGGCTGGATTCCAAATATTCCAAATAAACGTCTTAACCAGGCTTTGCATAAAAACGAGTCTACAAAAAGCTGCAGTAGTTAAAATGTAAGGGATGTCCCAGATTTTCAGGTGGCAGCACTGTCAGATGCTTCAGTGAAGCTGTTGTAATGGGTGACTTTTGTGGACTGTTAACAGTGGGACACAGGGAACCTGGAACTTCTGGGGCCAGGAACTGTAATCTAGCTCTGCCTCAGTTTCCCTGCCTGTCAGCTCTGATCTCACAACTGCACCCTTGGTGTGATCAGCTCGTTACGTTACCAGGTCAGGTGTTTGCCTCGGCCTCTACAGAAACACTGATGGTTGCCAGGTGAATGTGTATAAGAACTGCAGTTTCAGGACCATTGGGTGGTGGTGGTAAAGACTTGGACAGGTTCAGTCACACCCCTCCAGGTGGTAAGGGCCGGCCTGGATTGTTGGAAAGTG